CAGCCTCTCCTGACTGAACCGTCCCTCGGGGAAGAGGTACGACGTGATGATGACCTTCTCCGCGCCGGCGTCAACCCACTCCTTTGCGTTCGTGTCGTTGATGCCTCCCCCGACCTGCAACCCGCCGGGCCACGCCTTGAGCGACTCCCGCGCGGCCTCGGTGTTTCCGGGCCCCAGCATAATGACATGGGCGCCCGTGAGCTCATTGTCTCGGTACAGCCGCGCAAAGTGCGCCGGCGGGTGCGTCGACACGAAGTTGGTCTTGAGCTCGGCTGTTGTGCTGTCGAGGGTGCCGCCGACGATTTGCTTCACCTGCCCGGCGTGCAGGTCTATACAGGGGCGAAACCGTGTCATTTTGGATGTGTGTTGGTGTATACTCTGGTGGTTTGAAGAAGTTCTATCAACTCGAGTTCCACGGCTGCGTCACTGCTTGACCCCTCCTGTTCAATTTTGTGTGGATGGTGGGGTTGCCGTAGTTGCGATGTCGGTGCAAGGCTAACAACCGTTCTCTTACTGTGAGGTTTCAGGCTAAATTACACACCTTGAATCCAGTCAATTGGAATGTCGAATTCAATCGCCTATTTCTTGAGACTGTACTTCAAATCTGCATTATATTGCAATACCATTTCCTCGATCGGCGAGGGCTAATTCGTAAAGACGTTCGTAGAACGTGTTAAGCCGGTACTTCTTTCAGTCTAAGCTGGCATCGGCCCAAATTCAATCACAAACTCAAGCCTTCGAGCTAATACTGGGAGAACAGAAAACCACTCTCTTTCTGAAACTGAAACAAAGCATCAGGCATATGATACTTCGACAACCTTTTCACGGTCTTCCCTTCGATGTGACGCAAAGCCCTCTGAATCTGAATCACCTAGATTTCGCTGCTGAGGGAGCTTGGACGATACTAGAGCTCTCGATTGACGGGGTCTTCCAACAAATCCGGCTGTGTGTTCTAGTGGTTATGATTCCTCGTTCACAATGTGAACACTTGAACTCCGAGGAGGTCGCAGGTTCGAACCCTGCCGCGGTCACAGTACTTAAGTCTTTTGAATTTTTGGACCAGTTGACATTAATTGTTTCAATCCCCATTCATTTAACATACAATTGACACGTTCCGACGTTCACAGCAAGATGAATGCTGTCGTCCGCCAAACTCGGGGAACCGCCACCAACCATTTTGCTCGAGTCCTGGATAACTATGATTCCACGAATCGATCCGTATCAGGCCGGGATACCTTGGTAGGAAATAGGCAGTAAGTGTTGCCATGAATAACTCATCGAGCCGATTATCTGCGCGTTCTTACCGAGCTCCGTGTAGCAAAGGCCAGCTTCCAAGCCAGTGTGCTACTTCAGCCGACCAATCACTCAGCCAAAGTAGGTGCTACCTATTGCCTGTTCTCGACAGCACGAATGTTGAACAAAATCGCCCGAAGGTAGTGATGCCCATTCGTATAGTGAGTACCTGTGTCACTTGTGAGAAACCGAGTCACGGCCTCGATACCAAGTCCTACCATGTCAGAGCTACAGTCACAAAAGCCATGCGCTACCGCATTCTATCCCACCTGAGGCTCACAGCCATGTGACTGGCGATGCCTTTTGGGAGCACAAATACTTCCACCGACATGAAAGCTGCCTTCAAAATTTCTCGGTGTAGCACTGGGTCAGCCTCCTATCCAGTGAGGCAGCCTACATATGTACTGAGCGTATCTTTCACTCGACGGCCGTCTGCAACCTTCTTGAGCCAACAGTCATAATGGCGATACCACGAAAGCCCGTCCCGGAAATTATAGATGCATCATTGGTACCGCGAACCTCAATCAGCGTAGACCATGGGGCTCATTACCAACCCCAGACTTCATGTTTGGCTTCGAACACAAACGCGGTCAACGAGCCTACAACCGAGACTAACAGCCTCACCTTGGACAGGACTAAGAGCCAATATTCAAAGGGCAGCTCCAGCGTGTCCGGCTGGATACTAGAGATTTGCGCTCTTGTTCTGAGCATTACAGCTTTGGTCACGGTCGCTGCCCTTCTACTAGCGTACGACGGAAAGCCGTTATCGACATGGTCCTTCTTCCTCACCTTTAACACAATCGTCTCCATCCTGGGGACGATATCTCGGGCTACTCTTGCATTTGCCATTGGTGCTTGTTTAAGTCAGGAAAAATGGAACTGGTTTAAGCGTCAGGATGATTACGTGATAAGTTACGACCGGTTTGAGGAAGCGGGACGTGGCCCTTTGGGAAGCGCACGTCTTCTGTAGCGTATCAAGCACAGGTACCTACTTTGATGCCCGTTACGATGAAGTGTACTCGACTGAACGTTGTCCACAGGCATTGGGTATGTTTCGGTGCTCTGGCAACGATTGTCTTGCTCGGATTCGAGCCTTTTCTCCAGGCGATCATCGAACTCTACGAGAAAGAAGTCCCATTGTATGGGGAAGGTATGGAGGCCAAGATTGGCAGCCTGAAGATACTCGACGTCGGTAAGGTAACAACTAGTGGTGAGGATCCGGTTTCGTTCATCTCAATGCCGAAGCCATTAGAACCGCTCAGAATCGAACCAATCGTCCTCGAATACGATCTCGGCTCACTCTCCGCCATCTGGACGGCATTCAACAATCTCAACTCCTACATCAACCAGCAACCTTTTTTCACTTGTGTAACTGGTAACTGTACCTGGCATCCTCATGCCTCGTTGGCAGTTTGCAGCGCCTGCAATGACATTTCAAGCCACTTGTTGAAGTCTACAGGCCATGCAGTCTTTTTCGACCAAGCCGTTACGGTTCCGAATACTACAGAGAACTTTGTTACTAAGTTTCCTTACACCAAATTCGAACTTCCGACGATGAACATGAACATTTCCAACTTCGATGACGGTTGGGGGCCACAGGTCGAACTCACAAGCCAGTCTACTACACAGCCTGGGAGCACACTATCATTCCAAAACTCAACGCTATTACTTGTCTCATTTGCCATGATGAGATTAACCCCCAGCACTCGGAAAAGCAGAAAGCCATCCGGTGAGGCCACTGCCCTTGAATGTGCCTTGTCATTCTGCACCAACATTTACCGCTCCAGTGTCAAAAAGGGTGTTCTACACGAAGAGATTCTCGGCTCACATTCGATTCGAAACCTCGACTCCTATTTGGCGGTTTCGGAAACGGATTATTCTAACTCATCCAAGGTCTTCAACGAGATGTCGAATTACACACTTGACTTTCACCAACTCGAAGAATTCCAGCGAACACCATTACAGCTCGACATACCGGCGTACCATAACGTCACAGCACTATTGGGCGAATACAAAGGGCCATTTCTCATATCTCAGGCCGCCGCCGCGACACTGACGGCTGCATTTGTGGATAGGTTTGCCAGGCGTTCTCCTCCGTTCGCATCGAAGCAACTTGTCTATCCAACCTTTGATTCATTCGAACCTGAACAGCCTTCTGTGATCAACGAACTCAGCAAGTCCCGGAATCTAACTGCCACGTTCGAGATAGCCGCCCTCGCAATGACCAAGTGGATGCGTGACGTTTCGCTGAAAACCCACCCCCATTTCGGACTTACGCAAGAGTCAGTCACTCATATACGTGTCAGATGGGGGTTCATGTTATTGCCACTTGGTGTGCTTTTCGGCGGATGTCTCTTTTGCCTATTCTCGATGTTTGAGACTTGGAGGCTACAAATCCCGGTCTGGAAAGGTAGCTCCCTCGCGGGGTTGACGCATGGGCTGGATGTAGAAGCAAGGGAGCAGCCCTAGCCTTATGCGACAGTACGGATTCAGTAGATGAGGCTGATGGAGAAGAGCTTCGAGGAACGGATCGTTCTCATAGTCAGTAATGTGGCGCAAATGATAGGCATGGACAGCTATCGTTCGAAAATGAAGATAGAACTTGGTTTATCGTGATTCTAAAACACCATTCTTATGGTCGAAATTTGGCATACACCCAACCAGCAAACACCACATCAACAGTGGTGAAGCATCTCCATGGCATACTCAACAATAAAGCACACTATTCTCAAGATTGTCAGATTGCCCCAAGGCCGAGTCCTATTCGCCTGGCATCAAGCATCATGTGCTAGGTTGGCTCCTCATTAACGCAGCGGTAGCCTGACTGAATATTCTCACGCTTTGCAAAGGCATAGGCGGTGATAGAATCGTACAAAACAAGACGCCGTCCACCAGCCATTGAAACTAGCGAAAGGCGCCCCTAACCAAAAAGCCTTCAACGACATATCAATATCTATCAATGCACTCAGACGCCGTATTTCTCTACCATACAAAGCAATAAGAATAATGTTGCCGGAACCAGAAAACCTACAAGCTCTTCCTCGTCATGCTAGCAAATGGCATAGCCACATCTGAACTAAATAAAAGGGTAGGCTTTCGGCGTGATTGTCCATCTGCCGCTGGAAAGATGCATTGCAGTTTTCACATCCCATGATTGCGCATTTGAATGTTGGTAGTGAGCACCACGACCAAATACCCCCCCTCGGCTTCTATAAGCCATTGAGCTGACCGAAGGTCACATTTAGCCACGTCTTGGCACCTTCTGCACTCTCGAAGACCACCTTCTCTGGCATATGCCGTGTAGTATAGATATGGGCGCAACAAGGTAGACGCATGGTCGGCGGGCGTTCGCTTTACGCTTTTGGCGAGGTGAAGGCGTCCTTCAACGTGCCACAGAGAATCTCCTCCCCCAAAGTTCTGGCTGCGGCCAAAAAGCTCCACGCCAGAACCACCACCTAGCCTGGGTCATAAATCGTGAATCGAAGGACGAGCAGCTGATTTAAACATGATAGCAGAAGCTCTCGTGAGGCGAAGGGGCCTCTCCCACCTGCGGATTACGGGCAGTTTCTCAAAATTACACATCGTGATATGTGCTTCAGTCCAATAATCTGACAGAGCGAGGCTGCCGTGTGTAATTCTCAGGAGAGAGGGGTACATTGATCTAATCATCTATTTTTCGGTTGTACTTGACCAACCCTTCGCCGTCCTCAACCGGCAAGCAACTTATCATCAGTCTCAAGAACCTTTTCCTGAACGCTCTGATCCTCCTTCTCTCCATTCTTCTTCTCTACCTCCTCCTTGCCCTCCTCCTTTGCCGCCTCCCCATTCCCAGCAGCCTTCAACTTGGCCTTATCCTTCTTACTCAACGACACCGCGCCCTTGGCCACAGCCTCCTTGGGCAAAGGCCGAATAATCGGCTGCACAACCCACCAAGGCCTCTTACACCTCTTCACCGCGCCCCTCGAACTCTCTCCATCCTCCTCCACAACCTCTGCGGCATCGGCCTCCGGACCCAGCACCTCGTCACCCGCAAACATCTCGGCGCCCCTCGCCTCGTACTCAATCAACCCCTCGGCAACCTTTCTCTCCACCATGCTCAAAATCCTCTCGTACGCCTCCAAATCGCCCGCCCGGCTCCGCGCCAACAGGTCCCGCACGTCAGTGTGCTTCGACACAAAGTGCCGCAGCAGGTGAAACATGTGCGGCTGCATCGCCGAGTAATTCGGACTCAGCGCCCGGCTCTTGGCAGATTTAGGCCCGTTGGTCACGTCCCGCCTCCTCTTCTTCCGCTCCGGCTCGTCCTGCTCCGCCTCCGCGCGATCCATCTCCTCCATCCACGCCGTGTCGTCACCAAAGACAAACAGCGGACGCCGCGAGGGCGGGTCCTGGCCCGCGGCGTACTTGTGCAGGATATCCATGTACCGCCTCATCACCGCGTCGACGCGGTACCCCCCCCTCCCATCTTTACCGCGCCAGTACTCCCTCGTCTCGGTCCCGGCTTCCGGCGGCCGGCTGAAGATAGCGGGGTCACTCAGGTTTCCCTCGGCGCTCATGACGCCGTCCGCGCCCGTGGCGTCCAGCGCGCGCTGCAGGTCCGCATGCTGCAGTATATTCCCGTTGGCAAACAGCACCGTCTCGGGCGGCAGCTGGCCCCTCAACCACCGAATGGTCTCCCAATCCGCCAGGCCCGTCAGGTGTCCCTTTTGCTCGCGCAGCCGGCCGTGGACCGTGAGTATGGACGCGCCCGCCGCGAGGACGTTGCGCGCGTACGCCAGCGTCGCGGCCCTGGTATCGAGGATGCGGATCTTGGCCGTCACGGGGATGGGCAGGTTCTTGTGCAGAGTGTTGATGAGCTTGAAGATGAGGTCCTGGTCCTCCTGCAAGAAGGCGCCGTATTTACCCTTCTTGGCGATGCCTTGCGGGCACCCCAGGTTCAGGTCCACGGCGTCGCAGTAGGGCGCGACCTTGAGCGCGGCGCCGAGGAGGGCGTCGGGGTCGTTTGCGCAGAATTGCACAAAGAGAGGTCTGTCGATGGCAGGATTGCCGTCGAGCCAGGGCTTGGTCGTCGGCGGGTTCGTCGCAGTCGCAGTCGCATCGTTCGAGTCGTCGGGTCTGATCGCTTGGAAATGGCACTGGCGGTAATTCTCCGTGTCTTTGTACAGTCGCGCATGGAACATGGGCGTGTAGGCCACCAGATTCTTCTGCTCGGACGCCGGGATGAACGACCGGCTCAGCATTCGCCATGCCTATAGAGCACCAGTCAGGCAATCGTTAGCAATCCCGCTCCCAGACAATGCGTCTTCGCACCACGAGCTTTTCGGGGAGAAAAGGGAAAACCTACAAATTCAGATTGATCCACCATGGGTGCAAGTATGTACTTTGGACTTCCGATACTCTCATAGAATGCCCGCCCGTGCAGCTTCGGTCTGGTCGCGGCCGCTGCCGATGCTCCGGCCTCAAGCCCCGCGGTCGGGGCCTCTGTCGCTGTCGCCATTCTTCTCGTCGAGGTCAAGAATCGGGCGAACCGGGTTGTCTGAGACGTCCGGAGCCTCCAGAGCTTGAGAAACCCCTCCAGGATTTCGACGGTGATTTAATAAAAGAGGGAAAAAGACTCCTGATGACTAGGTGACCCAGTTTAGCATCGCGTGCTCGACTGAAAATCGTCTCGACGTCTACTGCGACTCTCTACTTTAGCTTGTGATGGCAGAAATTTTTGGTTAAGCCTTGCACACTAACAGAGTGCGAGGCTGAGAATCCCCAGATGGGAAACTCTACCTGATTGGGTGGGGTCATGGGCCCAGTGTTTCCCCCACGTATGGAACCCAAGGTAAGGAACTGCGAGGGAACGGGAACTGACATCTACAGCAAATGACGTCGTCCCGCCGATCAAGGAGAAACGTTCTGCGGAGACAAGTACCTGACACTGCGGTTTCTCGAGGCTCATCTAGCTCTAGCACTGAGACGGTGTGTCAGACCATTCATGACACACGCAACCCAACAAAGGATTGCTTGCGTAGGACGGGGCTTTTCACATGCAAACTTTTCACCATGCGCGCTCGCTATAGTCCGCTCTAAACTATTCAATTCGCTGGAGCGGTCGATACCAGCATCGAGACCTCGCTGAGACTAAGCTGTTCTTTTGGAAGAAAAAAAGCCACACTCTATTCCGCCTCCTCATGAACCGACGAACTTTGAAGGCCACGTAACTCGAAGAGAACCGACAGGTAACGAAAAGTCCTTTAAGCCCTTACAAAACAAATATCGAAACACTGAACCTCGACCGAGTCTCAAGTGTGTGCGTGTGTGTGTGTGTGTGTGTGTGTGTGATGCCATCTTTTCAGAAATTCGCATCTAGTTCGTCAGAGGACTTGGGCCCATCTGATAAAGTGTAAGAGGTCACCGCTATTATCGCCATCATGTCCTCGAGGTCCGTGTGATTGCTGCTCAAATGCAAACAGGCCGTCGGCCCGTAGTCTGCACTGACTGGCCTACTGCAAGGCTGTTCCGTCCGGCCGCCGTCTTCGTATACCTCCCGCCCATTGTGAAAATACTAAAATAAAATAAAAAAAGAATTAATCGACAAAGGGCGGCCGGGCAAGGCTTCTCAGTCAGGCAAGAAAAATGCTGTCGAGTTACGATAGTAAACACCCCGACTCCGTACGATGCTGTTCCTGAACGCCGTCGAATGGTAAATGTAGTTCAAATACATGATTGAGGGTTTGGTGCCCGTCATCAAGAAGCAAAAGTGGTGAAATTCCGTCTTGCAGGCGTAGCCATCGTTAGAAGAAGTGCGTGTAAATCTTGGAGTTTTCGTGAACTTCCATTTCCTATGAACAGTTAGCGACTCATCCATCTATGGTGTCAAGATCAGCACGTACCATCTTGAATGTGTTGAGCTCCTCCTTGATCTGCTGGGCTAGCATCGGCGTCAGGCGATTGCAGGTGGCGATTTCGCCCCTACGATCGTACTCGCCGCTAGGCCAAGTGTCGTGGAACACAATTCTCGGCGAGAAAGTTGCGTTTCTCTTAGCGGAGCCCGAAGGCGTTCCTGGGGCACTCTTGGTGTCCTGGCGAAGCCTCAAGGCAGTCATGAAGTAGTCTTCGTTACCGATGGCGACGGATCCGGACCGCTTGTGGCCCTGGGCCTCGTCATTTGGCGTGCTGGGTGCGGTTGAGATGGGAGAATCGGCGACGTTCGGGATTGCGGGCAACTCGAAGTTGGATCGCGGGTCGCGAGCAGGGCTGCCTGATCTGTTATGCTTCAGAATGCCTTTCCTGACAGCAGCAAGCGCCTCAGCACGCTCCTTGTCGCCATCGACAATGCTCTTTCGCCTCGCACTATCGGTACCTGAACTTCCTGCACGTTCCGATACCATGCTAGGAGTATTCGAAATATCCAAGGAGTTGCGTTCCAGATGCGGGAATCCAGTGCCACCGCCGTTCTGTGCATGGGGGTCAGCGTTGACATTGACTCTCTCGGCTTCAACGGTAACCATCGACACGGCGGCCTGGCTGGCCTCTGGGGCCAGTGCATCTGCTGCCGGGACGCCAATAACAGACTTTGGCCGGAAGAGACCGACAAGGTTACGAGTGCTCTTCTTCATGCCACGACCCATCTTACGGATCATGATTGAGGCAGACGATGCGGTGGATGAAATGGAGAGGTTGTCTGTCGAGCTGGAAAATAGCCTTCCGCCATAAATGTTGTTCCCGATACCCCCTTCCTCCTGCTTCTTCGCGATGGCGGCCTGTTCTGCATCGTAGATTTCGGCCGCTGTCGGCTCCTTGTGCAATCTGGTCGGATCAGACACACTATTTTCGTCGATAGTAGGTTCAGGACCCGCGGCTCTTTTGAAATCGGCCGCGCTACCAAACGAGAAGGCTCTGCGCAATCGCGACGTCTTGCTCTTGGATTTTGTACTCTTCTGGTTAATCGCAGCCAAATGCTGGGCTGCGGGGCTACTAGCGTTGTTGCTGTTGGACGCAGTCGTGCTCTGAGACAAGACCTGTTGCGGAGCATTGCCCAGAGAGGAAGGTGGTTTTTGGGGACTCGAGTCGGTCGCCATGGTCACCGGCTTTGAGAGAGGAGAGGGAGTAGACTGCCTCTTGGCCGCATCTGACGATGAGCTACGTGGAGGAATATTCACGAGTTTAGGATAATCTTGTTTTGAGGAGCCATCATCCAAGTGTGAAGGAGTTGAAGAGGAAGAGGGGTTGCCCGTGGGGGTGGGTACGCTGCGGTTGGCAGACTGGTGGAAATAACCTTGTTAGCGATGGAACACTTGAGGATGGCTGGGCCAGTGCGTGATTGGGCAATCGAATGAAGGGATGAGGCGGAGACAGAGCGCCTCCAGCGACACCGCAAAAACCGGGAGTGAAGACTTACCGAAGATGGTCTGGAATGGCTGCTGCGGCTTGATGCAAGGCTTTCAGCGCTGCCATTGCGGACATGCATGTTGTTATCGGCGGGAGGTGCAAGACTGGAGACGATGCGAAGTGTCTTTTCGCTGTTTTTGGGAGTTGGCACGCGGTCGGAACGGGAGGAATCTTCCGGGTGAGAGAATTCCTGTGGGGTTAGCGGCTTGGGATAATCGGCAGAATCAAGCGAGTGCATGCTGCGCCGCCTGAGTCGCTTGCTGTCTTCCACACTTTGTTGTTGACTTAATTGCATGTCATCAACCGCACCATAATAACTGTTTGGTCTGCTCTGGAAAGACGGGTTCCGGCCTCGCACTGACGCGTTCTTTTGCTCATCATTGTACAAATGACTAACAGTCGCCATGCCTGAGCCTGACGGGGCGCTAGTCTGGCGAGGTTGTTGTTGCTGGAGAGCCGGGCGCCGGTACCTATCAGGCGTCGTCTTAGTCCCAGCGGTCTGAGCGAATGTCATCTGCTGTGTCGTGTTGCCTGCCAAATACGCCGACTGAGGCCTCGGGGCCTGTGAATTCGTGCGAGCAGCAGGAATGCCCGAATCGTCCCTCGAACCTCCTTTGCTGGTTCCCATGCCATGGTTGTAGCCAACGTTTGATACTGAAGAGCTTCCTCCGTGACGCGCGCCTTGCGTCGGCACCGCAGGTGAAGATGCTGTGCGATATCCGTTGCCATATTGCTGCCACTGATTGTTGGTGTTCAAACTCGGGGTGCTGGTGAAAGCGTAGGGCTGAATTGGGGCATTACTACCGCGATACACGGCGGAACCTGAAAAGTTCCTCTGCGATTGTTGAGCAGCCATGTATTGCTGATTCGCCTGGGCCTGTGTTGGGACCATATTGCCGGAGGGTCTTGACTGGAGAGTGGTAACAGTAGTGGTCTGCTGTGGGTACGTTTGAACCAGCGCGGCCATATTCCAAGGAGCCGTCGAGGGGAAAGAGTGGTGAACAAGCAGTCCTTCACCGGTCCTATGTTCGGGCAAGTTGTTTGAATTCGAAGTACGGCTAGACTGTCTCACTCAAAGGGAGGGCGAAGACGGGTGATAAAAGAGCCGAGCGGTTTGCTGGCCGAATGTGCAGAATACTGAACGAGGCAGGCAAGTTAGCAAGGCTCTTTCCACTCGAGCTCGGTGTCAGCACCAAACTCTCAGCAGGCTCAGCGGATGGCTGGCTACTGTCACACAAATGACACCACAGGAGAACGGCCGCCGGCAACGATCAGAGTCAAGGTACGGATCTAACGAACCTTTTTTTTTTCTTTTGCTTTCTCTTTTAGACGAAGGTAGGAAATGGAAGAATGGTTATTCTGTTCCAAAAACGACTGACTTCTTTCTCGAAAGAAGGAAGCTGTGGATGGGAACAGGTAGCGATTGTGGAAACGAAGGTCGCCTGCGGCCAGGGGTTACAGCGAGAGTATCGTCGTACTGAGAATAAAGATGATGGTTTGCCTCTACCGCGAAGGGACGGTTATAGAGCACTCGTACGGGACGATGTAGGAATCGACCAAAGGGAGGCAAGATCAAGTGTCACCGAGACAACTCGAAGCAAAGCTAGCAGTCGACCGGGAACATGGGGATGTGAAGCACTCGTATCCGGCTCGAAATCGCAGCTAGAGAATCGTCGGGGACAGGTCAAGGTGGTGACAAGTCAGCCACGCAAACCTGAAGCTCGTCTTGTATTCGGGGTTTGAGGAGGAGGGTGTTTCGAGGTTTCGGGTCACAAAAAGAAGAAGTTGCAGTCGTTAAGCGTGGAGAGGGTGCGGTTTGTGATTGTGTTTTTTGTTTTGTCGGTTGCTTTCTTTTCTTCCTTGCTCTTAGAGGACGAATGGGCGACACGTGGAAAGGAAAGGAGGCGGCAGTAACGGAGATGCAAAGTGCGATTCGGGGGTGGCAACGAGGAGACGGGGGAAGAGAAGATTGGTCCGAGTAGGGAAAGGGACCCTGAGAGTCAGGCAACCTCTTGGGAATTCCGTTAATTGTTTTGGGGGGGAGTGAAAAGGGGGTACGTTGGTGATGTGGATTGGGATTTAGGGGAACGAGGGTGGAATTGGGGGCAGAGAGGCGGCGGATGGGGGAAGAATAGAAGGAAGAAGGGGGAAAGAAAGGGAAGAGAAGAAACGGGATATTTTTTTTGAGGGGATACAGAGAGAACAAGTCGAGTGTGATGAGAGGGATTTCCCAGGAGGAGAGGAGGAGAAGGAGGTTTCTCTCAGGCAAAATGGCGGCTCGGGGTGGGCAGGCGCAGTGAAGGGTCGAAATGGAGATTGCCAAAAGGGAAGGTTTTTGGTATCGTACCGATGGCCCATGGTGCTGCATTGGTCTGCTGGAGCCAGGCGTCGATGGAGTTCCACTTTCCTAGAGACCATACTGCGTACACAGTACTCCGTACCTAAGGTACCTAGCGCAGGAAACGGATCGTAAAAGTACCCACGCCGGCTGTTTATGCGGATAGAGATACATGTGCAGGCTTGTAAATGCACAATCCACCACGGCCTTGATCCTAGCCAGGTCCCCTTCCCTTGATCCCATGTACCCTGTGTTTTCCTGCGGCAGACCGGGTGCCCCAGTCCAACGCCATCGTATCTGACTGGTCCAGTTTAGTCCTGCAAGTGCGGTCCAAAGTACGAATACCTTCCACTCCTATCCATCCGTGGTACGTTGAGGACCATATCAGCGTACTATCTGCCTGCTCATTGCCTTCCATTCTACAACTCGACCCTTTACTTACTATAGGGCCTCCTTTTACGGATATAATGAACACATGCGTCATATACACAGAGCGAGCTATTTAAATAAATAAAAAAATAAAAAATTCACTTGACATGATGGGTAAACCGTCGGTTGTGCTTGCTTCAGCACTCTCTTATGCGAGATATCACAAAGTAAGCCATCAACGTATCAGCGAATTACCTGAGCTGATGAGAGGTTCAGTTACTGAGGACTCAGGAGAGCCCCTTCCATGTATCAATGTACTGAGGAGGGTATGTAGGAATCGAGGTTATCCAGCCATGTGTGAGACTATACCGTTACCCTTGTTATTCTTTTCCTTCTCCATAACGCCTGCACACAGGGCGGACCCCCCAAATCCCTCTCGAAAATAACCCAAACAGGAAAGGCCAGGACGCGTCCCTTGGTCTCATGGGAAGGACGTGAGGACGTATTTCTACGCAGTAGGCGGCTTGGAGAATTTTGGCAATCTCTCATTGGGCGGATGAACGCAAAGCGGCGAATCACGACCACGCTACCCCTTGCTCCTGGGCGACTGGAAATGCCCGCCGCGCTCAGAGTACCACGAGTACCTCCTTCCTGTGTGCCTGGTGTCCCGAATGAGGAAGCCCCAAGGGATTCGGGAAACAACAAAAAACACAAACCACAACATTCAATCCAACACTTACCGTGCCGGTCCACCAATGCCGCGCCCGTCCCTATTGACTGCTACTTCGTAAACGTAGTGTACGGAGTAACTAGGTACCTTACTCACTTCCTAACGTACTCAGGTAGGTAAGGTAGTCCTTAAGGTATCAGCATCGCCAAAGGGATGGATGGCACAACCGCAAAAGCAAGAGCGCTGCCGATACAACCACCTCATACTCCCTACATAAACAACCTTATGAATACCTAGCAGCACGCTCAACATGATCATCTCAACTCTTGTGCATGCAAAGAACAACACCGTTACCTGCAACCGCCATTCCCTTGCGGCACCGGGCATAGGTCCGGGCACTGTCAGATGAGAGAGATGGGATGCTCGAGCTTCAACTCAAAGACCCAAAGATGCAACACCGCCTCAGAGACTTGTTCAACGCGCAACGTCAATCCATAGCGCGTCAAACAATCGTTCAAGGAGGCGGAAACGAAACACCCAGCTCTTGAAGCCCTTCCCCTCAACGTTGGCGCTCTAAAGCTCGCCCGTGCTAGGTTATCTGACCTCACACTGCCGAGTCTTCACGGTAGCGGTACGCTTCTTCAGCCTCCCTCGCCAGAGGACCCTTACGCTTGGTACACGACAGCACTATGTGGATGTACAAGCTACCCAAGTGCCCAAGTGCTGAAATCCAGCAGAGAGCCAGTTCTTCGGGATTGAGGCACACGCACACACACACACACACACACACACACACACACCCAAACCCACTACCTAGGCACCTAGGCTCCAGACTCCTACACGATGGGACGAAATGCAGATTCTTCGGCTCGACCAATGTCATCAGCCCATCAGCAGATCCCACCAAGGGACGCATGTATGCTACCTAGATTCTTTCGCACTTTTCTGGACCATCTGGATTCACCAGCTAGAAAATCTACCTATCTCTTCGATGCATCTCTCGGCGGACTAGACGACAGACCGCCACGGCGGTACAACAACATGCCTCGCCAACACTCCTGGCCAATCACCATCTGGTTCGCCTCAATCTTGTCTCTGGAGCTGTCTCTCCCCCTTCTGCAGTGCAGTCTACGGCGCGGGTGCAGTCGTCAGTCACCGGTTACGTGTGATAATCGGCGGATACGAAGGGGCAGAAGGGAACGCTTCTCCGTATTCAACTTTACAAAGTACCCCACCATGGTGGCTTTGCCATGCTAGAGGTGGTGAGGTAATGCTACCTGCATATCGGAAGGGATGGCGTCCCCTGTTTTCGACAGGGGAAAAAATTGCAGGGTCACTTCACCAGCCTGCTCTGTCCACCCTCCGCCTCCCACCCCACGAGCAAGAGACAAGGCCAATTCGTTCTACTTATGCGGGCATTTGGGAGAATGGAGCATACTTGAGGTATTGCCGCCGCCGCACTTGATCCAAAAGGCCTGGGCGTCCGGGGGGTCACCGACAGGGAGAAGTAAGATGGGGGGGGGGGGGAGGCCGTTCGTGATGGACGCCGCAGCTTGGCGACATCAGCAACATCCTACCAACAAACCCGGAAGACGTGATTTATATCCGAACCTCGACGCCTCGCAGAAAGAAGGCAGGTTTGCCGTGCGACTTTGTCTTACCCACGGTCTTCAGGAGACGCTCTCGGTGCCGCTCAGGCAGTCGATCCTTGACTTCATCTACACGCTCACTATATCCGTACTCTGTATTCACAACCTAGTTAGGATACAATAGCCCACGCTCACTAGGCTGCACCCCGACCTGCCCGATTGATTCATTCGGCCGGCCGCTCTTGACAGCGCTGATGACGTTGGCTAGAGCCCAGGCTCCGATCTGATCTGGTCTTGAGACTCGTTGATATTGCAATGCTCATGACCTCACTAGAGCTTCCCTTCTTTACTCCTTCATTCTTCCATACATACTCGCCCTTTCTGTTCTTCCTTTGACTTTGAGCCTTAGCTCGCTTTCTCACACTATATTTAGTCCACGGCGAGAGATCAGTCAGGGGTCCACAAGACAAGTCGTCGGCCAACGACCAACGGGTTGCCAGTGGCACACCAGAAGCGGGCAATGGAGAGACATTCGAGGTATGTTGTACGTGGGATGCACGAGCACTTACATGCAAAGGGGCAACGCTATGAGCGGCCCACTTCGTAAATATACTTCTCGCACCGCAAGTGGCGGCGACAGCTACACACAGTACGGAGCACCTATTCGAGCGCGACGACAAGCAGAGCAAGCACGACACGCACACACGAGATTCTCACAGGCTACAGGCGGGTTCTCGTTCGCAACGATGAGGTGGAAACGACGCTAGCAGGCTAACAGACTAGCATGCCTGCTAACGGGCCATGATCGCTTCTCGCGGCGATGCGGCGGCGGCGTTGCGGCCCCTACAACTTTCCGGCGCCCCTGCCGATGAGATATGATGTGCTCGCATGCTAGCAATCTAGCAGGAGGCTCGAAGATGCGAGAC